CGTGGCTTGAGAGGCTGGGCGGGGCTTGGAGGTCCCAGCCTGGGATGGCTCCTCACCCACCCTTGCCGTTGTCGGAAGTGGCATCCTTGGCTTTGCGGTTCTGGCTGGGCGACTTCTCGTTCTCCTGCAGGAGAAGGGGCAGACGGGGTGACGTTCAACCCCCCGGAGTTGCCAGTACCATCCGCCCGAAGGGCCGGGCCTCCCCTCACATTGATGCGGTGGAAGTTCACGCTCCAGTTGGCCCCGGCCCGCGAGGGGATGAAGCGGTCGCCGTGCTTGCTGGGCGAGGACACCGGGGAGTTGGCTGGCGTCAGGGTCCTCCGCATCTCTGTGACCTGGGGGAGGCAGGGCGGCCTGTCAGCCCGCGGCCCCACTCCAGATCGCCAGACCGGAGACCCAGGGCCCGGATGCAGTGGGGAGGCAGAGGGAGGAGAGGTCAGGGGCCAGGAAACGGCCGGAAGCTCGGGCTTGGTGGGGACCCCACTGCCAGCCCAGCGCGGCAGGTGGCACCATGGCTTGTGTTTCTAAATCGCCTGTTATGCTGTGTCCCCCAAAGCCCACGCAGTCTAAGATGGGGCTTTTTCAGAGGTGGCTGCATCTACAGCCTGTGACTTTTCATGTGCAAGGCTGGGCGGGAGGAGGGCGCTAGGGTTAGGGTGTGAGTGCTGCCGGCCCTAAGCAGTCCGGAAGAGACAGAAGGGGAGGAGGACGCTGTTCAGGCCCCTGGGTGCTTCTCTGTCTTGTGCCATGATGAACTGTCACCCCCGCCCGCCGTGTGCCTTGGAACCAGCTGATTGTAGATGGAAACTTCCACAAACTATAAATAAACTTTTCTTCCTTTAACTTTGGGTGCCGGGTATGTTGTCTCAGCAAGGAGAAAAGTAAGAACACCACCACCCCAAGCCCAGAGCATCCTAAGTACAGAGCACACAACACTTATCCTGGGAGTCTGTGGCCCTACACCCCTTGTCCAACACAGAAAGACCCTCAGGACTTCAGCCCACCCAGCCCCTGGACAGCGATCAGACAGACCCGGGCTGGGGTGCCAGACCCCGGGTTCATCCCAGCACCAGGGACAAGGCAGACAGTCCAGAGCTCCCACAGAAGCCTGGGCCTGCGTCCACTTGTCCTGACCATGTCCTACTTCCACAGGGACCTGCTGTGTCCCCCACAAGGACATGCTGCGTCCTTGCCCAGACCCGGGAAGGGGGCCTTGCTTGGAAACGGTCTAGTCAGGAGGGCGGGCACTGGGCCACTGTGACCGTTGCCCTAAAGGAGGGAGCCACACATGGGGACAGTCGTGTGAGGGACAGGGACAAGAGGGATGCGGTTACAGCCCAGGGACATCAAGGACTGCCACCTCGAGGGAATGCAGACCTGCTCCCATCTGTGGGCCTCCGAGACACAGCAGGGAACGTCCAGTTCTGTCCTAGGGTCACACAGGGTCCTGTGACAGCCGCCACATCTCGACTTCTCCAGCCTGTGCCCCAACCGTAGCCCTGCCATTTCAGAAGGTCTGAGGGTGGTAATGACCCGATTGGGTCTGCGGGTGTCCAGCAACGAGCTGGCTCCGCTGTCAGTGATTCGCGCCACTGCCCACGTCCTCTTCCTCATCAAACTCCTTTGGCATCGAGCGGCACCTGTGCAGGCTCAGGCTGTCAAAGCTGCCGCATGGACAGATGCCTGGTGGCCGTGGCCAGCATCCTCTGTGCGCTGTCCCTGCCCTCAGCCCAGCCTGGAGCAGCTGCTCCTCCCTGCCATTGTGTGTGAGGTCCCTGTGTCAGCACAGATCCTCTGCTCTCCTGTGATGCCTGTGTCCTCTCATGGCTGCACCACGGCCCAGGCCCACATTCGCGCTGTAGCCCAGGATGGGCTCAGACAGGAGAGGATGGGAGGGGCTCATCCAGGCAGCCGCAGAAGGGGCCACATGGGGCCACGGGCACAGCCAGCACCTACTGAGCAGACCGAGCGCCCTCTGCCCATCAGAGGCCCAGGAGTCCTGGGTCTCAGGGACAGGTTCCCGGGCCTGAGAATCTCCTGCTCCTATGGTCCCTGCCGGTGATGACCGTCCCAGCCAGCCACAGCCGGGAACCTGGGCCAGACACAGGGTGGGGCCACCATGCCACCCGCGCAGAGCTCACACTGTCCCCCTGACCTGGAGCCTGCTCAACCACTCGGGGCCTGGGCTGGGGTGGAGCTGACAACCAGGCACCAGGCACTCCCAGTGCGGAGACCCTGAGGAGGCCAAACTTCAGCCCACGGTCCCTGCGGTAGCCGGTACTCACACAAGGCATGGTGTTCTCATTCTGGATGACGATCTGCCGCAGCAGCCGGCGCTCGTAGTCCTGGTCCATGGTGGGCGGGACGGGGCAGGGCAGGGCAGGGCAGGGCAGGGCAGGGCAGGGCCCGCCAGCTGATTTCAGCCTGTGTCGGGAGAGAGGAGGTCACTGGCCACAACGCCGCAACTAAGGGGATGAGCTGGGGGACCAGGCCTCCTGGTACAGAGCACAGACCTCCGCCGCTGCGGGTGGTATGCGGCTGTCGAGTGTGGACTCACACCTCAGCTCTCCTGCGGCCCGGCCCCCGCTGGACCCTTTCACACCTCAGCTCTCCTGCGGCCCGGCCCCCTTGCTGGACCCTCCGTGGGTGCTTCAGTACTGGGACCCTGGGCCATGGCCCAAGCCACTCCCCCACCTGTAGACCCTGCAAACCAGGACCACCCCGGGACACTGTCCTGTTCCCAGAGCCTCTGCCTGCTGGGAATCAGGGGTCTCTGCCTGCAGGCCCCGGAGCAAGCAGAGAGCTGGCACACAGCCAAAGAGTTCCCGAGAGGGTTCTGTGTCCTGCCGTCCCACACGGGACCTATGCTCCCTGACACAGGCATGTGCGGATGTCTGTGGGGTGTGTGCGCAAGGAGCTTCGTTTAGCTCCAGAGAGAGTACGGATGGGCACGGATGGGCAAGCGGAGTCCAGGCCAAGCCAGAGCAGCTGTGGCTTAGGGACACCGGCCTCTGGTGGTGATCGCACACCCTCATCTGCGCTAACCACAAATGTGACATTCAAGAGTCCTAAGGGTGCAACTCCATCCATGAAGGGGACAGGCAAGCGGAGGGGAGGAGGGCAGGGGACGGCAGAGCACATCCAGTCCGCTTCCTCCTTAAATAAAGTCTCACTGGAGCACGACCACACCCACCCCATCGGAACACCAACCCCACCCTCTTCCCTGGCCCCAGCAACCTACGTGGCAGAGGTTCCTCAAACAGCTAAGCAGTTACCACAAGACCCAGCAGTCCCACCCCAAGACAGACACTAGGAGAGCTGAGGCGAAGTCCACATGCAACACCCACACTCCTCCAAAGCAGCGCGAGTGACGACCACACCGCGGGCCCCACCCACACGCAGGGACATCACTCAGCCAAGAGGAGCAAGACTCTGACACTCGCCACGGCGTGGAAGGGCCCTGAGGACACCGTGCTGAGACGCCAGACACAGGACACAGCATGGGCTCCACTTGAGGAGGTCCCTAACATGGTAACTTAGCAGTGACAGGCAGTGGAACAGAGGGACGTGGTGGCACACATCGTAATCCCAGCACCTGGGAGGATCACCATGAGTTCCAGGCCAGCATGCACTAGAGCTAGTAATTCAAAGCCGGCCTGAACTGCTGAGACCCTGTTTCAAAATAAATAAATAAATAAAATAAAAAGACCCCTGAAGGCTGGTATGGTAGCACATGCAGGCTATCCCAGCACTCTGGGAGGCTGAGGCAGGAGAATAAATCACAAATTCCATCCCCAAGACCCTGCTTCAGAGTAAAATAGAAAAAGGTGTGGGGAGTGTCCCTCAATGTCCTGGGTTCAGTACCCTGTAGCAGAAGCAGGAGGACCAGAGACAGAGACAAAGACACGGTCACCCGGGGGTGTGGGGTACAGTGCAGGTTCAGTGCTCACCTGGAAAGCGTTACACAGGTCGGTACTCGCTCAGCATCAGCAGGGAGGGACAGACCGCACAGGGGTGAGGCCTGAGGCTGATCTGCCCAGGCCCACACTGGGGTGTAAACTGGGCGGTGTGAGCCAAGTGCCTGGGCCACCTCCTCTCCCCCACTGCCGGGGGCTGGGTCACACCAGGGCACAGACGATGGGAGCTCCTGCCCAGGGGCCACCCATCAAGTGTCCTCGGCCTGTGGCCACTCAGGCAGTGCCAGCTGCTCCCCGGCCTGGAATCCTGGGCTCCCTATCCTGGCAAAAGTCCCCACTGTCATCCTGGCAGCTCCACCCAATGCCCAGGTTTTGGCCCACTGGGGCCAGAGCTGTCTCAGGACGTGACCAACAGCTCCTCTCCCCTTCTAAGCCTGCCTCTCGCCATATAGGTCCCTGTCCCCTGCCCATGTCCCCCGCATGTCCACCACTCCTGGAGTGGCTCTAGCCACGCAGAGGGCATGGGAAACCAAGTATCCAGCCCTGAAAACCAGCAACAAGGTCCTGCTGCTGGGGCCTGGGCACTGCACATCCTGCCCGTGGGCTCCTGTGGCCGCATGTTCCTAAGCACTGCTGGCCAGCTGTCCCCTCGGAGGCTGCAGATGACCCTGGCATGGGACTGGAGCTGTGTGCACAGCCGGCCGCGTCCTTGGCAGAACCAGATTCCCACTGGTCCTTGCTGGCTATGGGAGCAACTCTCGGGGGTCTTGGAACCTGCACGGACCCACAGGCACTGGCCGGCACAGGAACCGGGCAGCAGACACTCCCCTCGAGGCAGTGCGGTCTTCTGGGAACAGCCTGGCAGCACAGGGCCTGGAGGTCAGGGACACCAGGGCACAGACAACAGCTTGGCCTCCTCTGCACACGAGACACGGAGCTGCCCCGGGGAACAACAGCTCCCCAGCATGGCCTCGGGCCCTTCCTGTGTCCAGCACATCTGCTGCCAAGGCAGCTACCGCCACCACCACCGCCACTGCCGCTGCCGCCACCTCCCAGGTGAGTGGGTGCTGGGTCCCAGGGACTGTGGCCATGTCACCTCCAGGGACAAAATGACTCTGCAGGTTGGCTGAGTGAAGGACCCCGAGAGGAGAGCACCCTGGACATCCAACACCCAAGGTGCCCCTTGAGAGGGTGCAGAGGGTGAGAGGCCGAGAGAGGCTGAAGACGCCGCGCTGCCGGCTCCGATGGAGGGTGGGGCCGCGAGCCCAGGGCGGGAGGGGCAGCCCTGGCA